GTCAACTCCGTGTATGCGATATAAGTTCTCAGTCCTATGAGCTACCGGTGCAGAAGTGGATTGTTGATTCCAGGACTCCTTGATAAGTTCCATCAAGGCTGGAATGAATGCCAAGCTTAGTAGAGGAGTTCTCTCTTGATAAATATCTCCGAATACGAGGTCTTCAGGAGGAGGAGGCTGTTCTGTTTGCATCTTTAAAGTTTTGGCCATTCTTGAGATCATTTGGACATAAGATGAGAAATCCTCTGAGGGTGAAGATGGGTGAGGGTCACCGGCATGATTCCAGGGGTTCCCCCACAGGTGTTTCTCTTGAAGCCTCAGAAAAAAAACTTCATCAAGATCTGAAACACCAGATGAAAATATCTCCTCCTGATCTGAAGTAGAAGGTAATTGAGAGGAATTTTTTTTGAACTTTCCTTCTAATGTCGGGTTCTGATGTTCAAGGCTCACGGGTCATATGAGTTCCCAAGTGTGGGACCTTCAACGCCAATTGATAAGTCGTGGACTGAATAGGTACAGCTTTACTCCTGTCCAAACGTTTGGAGGCTCGAACAGTGTTGACGTCAAGATGTCGTCGATGTTGACAGTTGAGTGGAGACGGCTACGAAGAGAAAGAGGAAGAGGCATAGACATATTGTATCTTCTTCTTCCTGCGGCAGTCTTCTGTGCTCGAAGATAAATCGGTGTCTGAATCATCGTGTTGACGACGGGACTTATGATCAACCTTGATGTAAATGGGTTGCCATATTTCGATTTATGTTGCCACTGAGTAGACTACCTCATGTCAAGAAGTTCGATGCCAATCCGGAGAAAGAGGCTTAGTTTTCGCAGCCCGTTTTTGAGGTGGAGAAGCTGGCCTCGATGAAGTCGACGGCGGTGCCGGTGACGCCTGCCCGGTAGAAACAGGCCTATGATGGGCAGAGGCTGGGCTAGGAACATTTACTGGCTGGGTATGGGTCGAAGAGCGGTTGAGGCAGACAGAAGTCTTGAGCTGTTGCGGAGGGAGAGAAGTGGCGTCTTCCGAAAGGGATTCCCGGTCTTGGGATCAATCCTCCAAAATTGGTGATGGTAGTGACGCTGAGACTGGAGGAATATGTTTCCGATGGTCCTTGGTTTTATCTTTCTTGTCCTTAAATGATGATTTCTTCTGTTTCAGGTCCTTCGAGGACGAGCTTGAGGTGGTTCTCGACGCCAAGGTAGGTGGCTTTTTTGTGGTTGTGGATTTTTTTGCAGGCTTGTTGACAGATTTCAATGTCGACAGCGGAGATGGGGAAGCAATTCGCACTTCCGAACGTGGGGTAGCTGATGGTGTTGGGGTGGTTTCCATCTCAGATGACCTCAACGCCGAGAATGTCTTGTCCCACAGGAAAAGTTTCAAACATTGCTGCCGAGCTTTAAGGGCGGCTTTCATGAATTTTTTACAGGAATGTGGTTGGTGGGAATGTGGTTGATGGGACTCTCCTAAACAGAAAAGGCAGTGGTCGTGACCATCAGAGAATGGTAATTTTCGGGAATATGACACACACCTACTGAAAGGACCAGATGGGGACATAAAGTAGAGTGAAAAAGTGGGGTAGCAGGACTCACAATTAAGGTCTTGGTGTGATAGTCCGGAACTGTTTAATCCTCTGAGGAAATGTCAGGGAGATAGGAGAAGGAAGCAGCAGTAGCAGTAAGCTGAAAAAAGGGTGGGAAAGCGAAACAGTCCAGAAAAAAAAATCCAAATCACAAAGTAAAGAATAGTCAGGCAGTCCGTTATCAAGGGCAACAGAGAGTTTGAATAGTCAAAGGAAAATCCACGTAAAAGGTCCGTAATCCAGTGAAAAACGTTTGAATAGAGAGCTCTAAAATTGAGAGGTTCCAAGCCAAACGGTGGTAAAATGGAACTCAAGGCTGAGGTGGTGGAGCATGCACGATAGGGGCAACTCTAAACTTTGTTACTTTTCTACAAAATCTCTAGAAGATTCCATGAGGACCAGTGCAGGCACTGTCAAAACCCTATTGTGTGCATTCACAGAGGCCATGAAGAAGAAATATGGATTTTTGTCAGACCTCTGTTTCAAATCTGTGACCACTACAATTATTTCAAGCACTAAAAAGGAACTGGAGAATTGAAAGCTCATAACTGATTCTTAGACTGGCCATACTGAACACAAAAACCTTACCAATTTTCTGAAATTCCCTGCCTGTGTTAAACAAGGCCTATTTATTCTGGAAAGTGTCCTTGCATCATCCTAATGAATAAAATAATTTGTATCAGCCACTAATGAAAAAATCCTGTTTACCTTCACTGTGCTTTTAAACCCAATTAACAATAAAATGCAGTGTTAAAAGACTTAATCTTATTCATCCTTCCTAGCACTGAAGAATTAACTTTTGATTCTCAGTGAAAAAAGTAATGAGACTACTGTAATTATCAAGAATTGAAACAATTCCTACATTTCCCTCTATAAATCAACAGCTTTATCTGATTCTATATCTGATTGATGCTGCCACTTTCAAATGAACTTGTAAAAGATGGCACAAACACAGTCATATTATTTCTAAATATCATAATGATGTCATAACATAAATGATGAAATAGAATACAAGTAGTTTGGTAGTTTTCTTTGCTAATATCTTATAAAAGAAATTCCATATTGCTACAGGAATATATTCAAAATCTTCTATTGGCGTGTTGAAACAGTTTCCTTTATTTTCTACTCTATAATGATCTGTCATAATCCAATCAGGGTGGAAGGGATGATTGATTTTATTGTTTCAAAAAAAAAGAGTACAGCTTTAAGTAGTTTAAAAAATCAAATAATGCACATTGTAGGAGCTGATATAAAATTAGAATTTATAAGTCACTTTTCTGCTATTTTAACACTTTTTTAAAATTTTAATTAATTTATTCATTAATTTTTTAATTCTCTCTTTCTTCATTCAAGAGGAAGCTCTTACAATATGCATATTTGACTATTATGGTAAACAAACTTCAATCTCTCACCTTCTCTTCCAGTGGAACAGCAAGAAGCTGTGCAGAAACATTTGCTTCGGATTACTATTAACCACAGTATAGCATGTCATGTAAATCTTAATGTTAAACTTCAGCTTTTACTTACTGTGATTTGTCATTACATCTCAAATTAGTGCCCTGATTTAATCTTAGCCTGTTGCCCTCCCTGATGAAAGAATCATGGTTCAAAATCAAACATCTCAAACAGTTAAGAGACTCTCACTGGATACGTCTTCTCATTCTTCTTGGCAATTTTCTTTTCTAGCCCACATCTTTACTGACCAGCTTTTCCTCTGAGGTTTAATACCTTCCCCGCAGCAGTTTTGCACATGGACTTTGTTTTTAAGGTTCTCTGACCTATATCTAATAATATGCATTTCTTTGCTGCTTAGAGGCTACACTAAATTTGAACAGATGCAATGATTCTCATGTCCATGCATTCACTTTCTGATAAATTCATTTTCTATAACAGTGGTCCCCAACCTTTTCAGAACTGGGGACTGTTTGGGGGGCGGAGTCTGTGTGTGCAGGGGGAGGGGCACACTCCATGCTCATGGGTGGGTGTGGCACATTCACGGGTGAGTGTGACACGTTCATGGATGGGTGTGGCGCGATCGTGAATGGGCATGGCGTGCTCACACGCATATGCAGATCGGCGTGGTGCATTCATGTGTATACGCGGACAGGGTGGTGCGGTTGCAGGTGAGTGGGGTGCACGCCACACCCACTAGCAAATGTGCCCAATCACCCGTGCATGCACATGAGCGCACCACACCCAACATGTGTGCATGCAGGGGGGCAGGAGATCTGTCTCCGCAGTCCGGTCCTGCGAAGCCCACGGACTGGCACCGGGCCATGGACCAGGGGTTGGCGACCCCTGTTTTACAACATTCTGCTCATCTCCTAGGAATCCAACCTATTCCTAACACTTGTCTTTTTGCCTGTTCAGGATTAAAGTCTTGCATCTCTATTTAAGAGTAGCCACAAATTGGTGGGTGTGGAGAATATATGTTTGATACATTTTGCATTGTGTGTTTTTGTTTTGTTTTGCTTTTGGCTTGCGTTCATTAGAGGAAGCAGATATTTATTTGCTGTTCAGAATCCAACTCCTGAGAGATAAGTAGGCATATTGTACATTTAGACCTAATGGTAGGTTTCTGGGTGTGACGCAAACAAACTCCAGCTTAATGGTATGTACCAATCAAGCTATTAATTGTTCGCAATAAGAAAAAAATAATTCTGATTGAAGACTGAGCAAGGGACTAAGGAACACCAATTTCTCAAATGCTGGGTTCAATGCATCTATCCGACATTTAGCAACTTTACACACAATTGTTAACCTGTGTGATACAAATAATATGATTAAAATACATTGAATGCAATTAAATGTTTGATTACATTCAAACCACAGTTGTTATTTTATTCATCATTCCTGTTGTTTCTATCAGAAACAAGAAAATTAAATATGTAATGAATTACAATACTATGTGGAATAGGGCCACTTAAGATTTAACAGAAGCCACTTTGGTTACAAAAAACAAACAAACAAAAAAACAAACAAAACATAAAAGCCAAAAATAAAAGGAGCCCAGTGGCAGAGTTCATGCTACTAGCATTGTATTTAACAAAATTCTGCACTTATCTTTAAGGGGATGCAATGCTTTTCTTTAAAAATAAAAAGCTTGGTGGAAAATAAGCATTAGGTTTGGGTGTATTCTAGTAACAACCATTAATAAAGGTCTTGTTAATTTGTACATACAAGGTGTAAATTATCTGAGACAAAATCCACTGTGCCCTATTGCTGTGTAGCTTTTCTTCATTTCCTTGTCCTTGGGCAAGCCACAATAAAATGAAAAGAAGTTGCATGGCAACAGTACTAGGTGAATTGTGTCTTCATTTAGTAATCCTATGCTTTCTTTTACTGAAAGTAAAAACGAAAGAAAGACATAATGAAGACCGAGGCATCTAACCACAAAGATACATAACAGCCTGAACCACTTACTGTAGCTGGAGAGGCTCGTGTTGTATGAGTCACAGAATGGCCAGAGTTTTCCATTGAATTGCCAATCAGGTAGGTACCTCCAGTGCTGCTGATGAGCTGTCCTCCAGTGACACCCATCTGAATGCCTCCAGTGCCCACCATACTGTGAGATGACACCACTGTTGTCACCTGTGCAGAACCTCCTTGGGTATCAAAGTAATTCCCCCCAGTGTTTTGGCTGTACATCTGTGTTTCTGTGTAAGGATACGTCGTTGTTCGTCTTAAGGAAAAGGAAAAGAAAGAAGTTGTTTATGTACATATGTATGTCCTTTCACAAGAGGAGGTCAACAATTTCATTGTGATGAGTGTACAAGTCTTCATTGAATAACATTATTTCTCCTTTCTTATGGCACCTTTTAGTAAGAGAAGCACTCTTTTTAAAACAAAATCTTATTTCGTAATATAAGTTAAAATTTCTTTTCCTGAAAAAAAATCTATGACTTATTAGAAAGCAAAATTGGAACAGAAGCAGGTTATTTTTCCCAATGTGCTAAAAGGGGATAGGAATATCATAACCATGTGAAGAATTATGCCCATCTTTGTGAAGCCATTTCCAAATGTTTTCAGTTCAGAATATGAAATATTCATTCACATAGTACTTGCATTTTTACTAAGACAGCTTTAATTAGTCGCTAGATCCTTGTTCAACAACTGTACTTAAATATACCAAAAATATATTCTTCAATACATAGAAGTGTTTGACAACATATATTCAAATTTCTGTATGAAACCATGAGATATAAAATACCTACCAAATGGAAGAAAAATCTAGGATTCTCTAGATTCTAAAATGTCCCCAGGGAAAATTAATTGGCAGGGGGGAGGGAGGGAATGCAGGAATTGGCCAGGGTGCATTTAGGTATGCACGCACACATGTACTGTATATGAAACAGTGGTGGGCAGAAAAGGGAGGCTGATAACCTGTGACCCTTCAAATGTTGGACTACCTCTTCCATAAGCTCTAATTAGGATGCTTTAGACAAGGGATAATTGATAATGCAACCACTGAATGATCCATCCTAGTACAAAAGCATGCAATATCCAAGCCCTGGGCAATTTAGGTAGGTCATAAGAGAGAGATTGTGGGTGTGCATTGAAGCTCTGCTCCAACATCCCCAACTCAATTTGTTGAGACCTTGACCTTCTCATTCTGATAAGAAAGATTAGAAGACAGCATTTACTCACATGTTTAAAATACAAGTCTTTATGTAATTGGAAAGTGATATACAGTGATGCCTTGCTTAACGGGTGCCCCATTTAACGAGGAATCCATATACTGATGAAAATTTTGCCATGGCTTTTGCCATCGCATTGCGATGTTCCCTATAGGGAAAAATCGCTTTGCGATGATGGCTCCCTGCCCTCATCGCAAATGCCCCATTTTGCACAGCTTGCGATGAGGGGGGGAAGTGATCGTCCCAGAAAAGGATGGCGGGAGCCATCTTCCCCGCTCCAGCTCCTCCCCCTCCCCGCCTTACAGCTGATCTGCGGTGCTCTTTGAAGCTTCCGCAGCAGCTAAATAGGCAGGGAAAATGCACTGGGGAAGCCTCTGAAAGCCACGCTTTGCCGGGGTGGGGGTGGGTGGGTGGTAGGGACAGGCCTGCCACCCCCTGCCCCCCACGGCAAAGCAGCGCTTTGCCGGGGTGGGTGG